TCTTCGGGTTCTGCTGCACGTTGCCGTTCAGCGTGACTACGAGCTTCACTCTCTTGACTTCAGCACAGCGTTCCTGCAGGGCAGCTTGCACGAGGAGATCTGGCTGCGCCGTCCACCTGGCTTTACTGGGTCGTTTCCTCCTGGTACCCAGTGGAGCCTCCGCCGGCCAGTCTACGGTCTCCGCCAGGCGCCACGTGAGTGGCACGACACACTGAGGACTACACTTGCGGCTCTTGGGTTCGCGCCGTCTACTGCTGACCCGTCGCTGTTTCTGCGCACAGACACGTCGCTGCCGCCGTTCTACATTCTCGTGTACGTCGACGACTTGGTCTTTGCTACTGCTGACACTGAGGCACTCGCTCGTGTGAAGTCGGAGCTGCAGAAGAGACACACCTGCACTGACCTGGGTGAACTGCGTAGCTACCTTGGCTTGCAGATCACCCGGGACAGAGCTCGCCGCACCATCACCCTGAGTCAGTCACACATGGTGCAGCAGGTCCTTCAGCGCTTCGGCTTCCAGTTCTCCTCACCACAGGCCACACCTCTGGCTACCAGCCACTCGCTCTCAGCTCCACCTCCGGACGAGTCCGTAGAGCCGAGTGGCCCGTACCCAGAGCTTGTAGGCTGCCTCATGTACCTGATGACTTGCACGCGACCTGACCTCGCGTACCCACTTAGCATCCTTGCTCGCTACGTTGCGCCTGGGAGACACAGGTGAGAGCACTGGGAGGCTGCTAAGAGGGTGCTGCGTTACTTGTGCAGTACATCAGGCATGGGGTTGGTGCTTGGAGGACACGACAGAGTTGTCCTCACTGGTCACTCGGACGCTTCTTGGGTGGACGACCTGGCTACGCAGCGGTCGTCACAGGGTTACACCTTCAGCCTTGGCTCTGGTTCTGTCTCGTGGCGGTCCACCCGCTCTTCTTCTGTTCTCGGCTCTAGTTGTGAGGCTGAGATCTACGCCACAGCCATGGCTGCATAGGAGTTACGCTGGCTCACCTATCTGCTGACTGACTTGGGAGAGCGGCCTAGTTCTCCTCCAGTTCTGTACGGTGACAACAAGGCAGCTCTTGCCTTGTGTCAGGAGCACAGACTGGAGCACAGGACGAAGCACATTGCTCTTCGCTACTTTCTTGCTCGAGAGCTTCAGCAGCGCGGTCAGCTTCGGCTTGTGTACGTGGACTCGAAGGCCAACACTGCTGATATCTTCACCAAGGCACTCCCGCCTAGTGATCATCAGCGACACTGTACTTCTTTAGGCCTTGTGTCCACATTCCCTCATTTGCTTACTGCTTGACTTTCTTTGTACTGTACTTTATATATATCTTGTTGCTTGCTTGCTAGATTTTGATCACTGTGTTGTTTGTCTTGTACTATATCTAGCACTGCATGTGAACTGGCCTTGTGGCCTTTGCTTGTGCTCGGAGTGTGGTGACGTTGTGATCCACCCTGGGCTTGCGTTGCCTTGCTGGACTGGTCTTGTGACCCTTTGTTCTCCCCCACTTTGCCTATGGGGGTGTGTTAAATTGTAATGTGTTATATGTTGGTAGGCTGTAGTGGGGTAGCCAATATGGGGTACAACCCCAACTAGGGTTTGCTACTTGTACCCAACTGTTTCATTCAATGCACTCATTCTTGCCTAGTTCTTCTAACAGCCTTGTGGCCCTTTGCTTAGGCTCAGAATGCGTGGTGACTTTGTGATCCACCCTGAGCTTGCTTTGCCTTTCTTGACTGGTCCTGTGACCTCTTGTTCTCCCCCACTTTGCCTATGGGGGTGTGTCAAACATATATGCTGCTTATTGTGTAGGCTGTAGTGGGGTAGCCCATATGGGGTACAACCCATATTAGGGTTTCCTACTTGTACCCATCATGCTGCTAGTTCATTCATTCCTGCCTGTACTTTCTGTCAGCCCACTCCTCTGCCTACGAGCCACTCGCTCTCAGCTCCACCTTCGGATGAGTCCGTAGAGCCGAGTGGTCCGTATCCAGAGCTTGTGGGTTGCCTCATGTACCTGATGACTTGCACTCGACCTGACCTCGCATACCATCTCACCATCCTAACGCGCTTCATTGCTCCTGGGAAGCACCGTCCTCAGCACTACCGGGCTGCACAGAGGGTACTACGTTACTTGCGTAGTACACCAGGCATGGAGCTTGTGCTTGGAGGGCGGGGTGCAGTTGTGTTCGCTGGGCACACTTCTTGGGCAGCCGACCAGGAGACTCAGCGGTCATCACAGGGTTACATTTTCAGTCTCGGCTCTGGTTCTGTCTCCTGGAGGTCCACCCACTCGTCTTCTTTTCTCAGCTCCAGTTGTGAGGCTGAGATCCACGTGGGAGCCATGGTTGCAGAGGAGTTACACTGGCTGACCTACTTGCTGATCGACTTGGGTGAGCGGTCCCGTTTTCCTCCAGTCCTGTACGTCGACAACAAGGCCATGATTTCATTGTGTCGGGAGCAGAGACTGGAGCACAGAATGAAGCACATTGCTCTGCGTTACTTTCTCGCTCGAGAGCTGTAGCAGCGTGGCCAGCTTCGCCTTCCTTATGTGGCCTCCCAGGTCAACACTGTTGTTATCTTCACCAAGGCCCTAAGGTCTGGTGATCGTCAGCGTTTCTGCACTGCTCTGGGCCTACTTTGCGTCACTTGTTTGCCTCTTGACTTTGTCTTATCTCTTATCCTGCCCGCTTACCTTTGCTAGCTTGTGATCACTGTGCTGCATGTGCCTTTTTGTGGCCACTTGCTTGTGCTCGGACTGTGTGGTGACTTCGTGATCCACCCTGAGCTTTCCATTGTTGCTTCTCTTGACTGGTCTTGTGACCGCTTATTGTTCTAGCGGTTGTCACCCACTTTGCCTATGGGGGTGTGTCAAACTTTGCATATTTTTTACAGTAGGTTGCAGTGGGGCATACTGTAGAGGGTACAACGCATGAGGGTTTCAAACTTTTATCCCTCATTCTGTTCAATCCAATCATCTCTGCTAGTTAGTTTCTGACACTCTAACCATTCCATTTTTGCCCTAAGAAAGTCCCCGTCCTCCCACCACCAAACCAGCCACCAGCCACTTGACACTGGTTCTTTTGCAAACAGTTTTCACCCAGGTTCTCATGGCATGCGCTGCAAACATTTGAAACCTGCCCTCGAAGAAGATGGTGGAAGGAGGGGCCCAGCACCGCCCTTGACGACTTCCTCCTTCCAATCTCGGGAGGTGCTGCTTCCGATTTGGTCGGGCGGGGGTTAGCCTAGGGGAAGTTGCTCCGAAAACTCCCTTGAACACTAGCCTAACCCTAGCCCTCCAAGGGACAGGCTGCCTGTCGAACAGGGCCGTTCTGATCGACAATGATCATTAACGGTTCTGAGGGCATGTTCCTTCCTATCCTACGACCCCCTTATCAAACCAACCTAGTACCAGACTCGCTTCGCATCACACTGAAATTCTCGTAAACCCAATACGCTTCACACATTGTATCAGGCAAGTCTGACAAGAGGTTCGCCTGATAAGAGCGTGTTCCTACACCTCGTATGAGCTTCGCGCGGTGCAATACGTTTCAGTGTGTTCTAATGCGGTTGGATGCGTTTTAGTGCGGTTCGACGCGAATCTGATACGAAGTTGCCTGATACGGTACGAGGCTGCAAGAACACGCTCTGAAAGCCTTGGTTGCTCATCATGGAGTTGGAAAGGGCTTACTCTGCCAAAGGTTCAAACTTCGAGGGTGCACTGCACATTGTCGAGTATAGCCCAGGAAGAAATTGATATTCTATACAAGCCACATACCGTATTCCCCCGGACATACCACCCGCCGAAATAGAGCACCCCCCGGGTGGCTTGTGCGGGGGGGGTGCTATAGCGGGCCTCGTTTCTACTATACCCCCCTGTTGGGGCGATCCGGTATAGCACCCGGGGGGGGTGTTATGTACGGGTAATATTGCAGTTTTTGCCAAAATAGCACTAGGTTTCGAATGATTAACCATCTACATGTTCGGGCCGGGGCGAACGCCGTGTGCCCGCAACAGCGGGTGACTGGGTGACGGAAGGCCGCTGCCGCCTAACCACTGTGCTACTGGAGTCTGGTGGAGAGGTAGCCATCTAAGCCTAGTGAACGTTGGTGTCACAGGCCATTGAAAGGTGAATTTATGCTAGGAAAGGGATCGACGAGGCAGGTGGTGTTAGCACACTCTGCCGAGCATTGCTCGAGTTCGTGGAATGGAGACGCTGCTCAGAAAGAAGGATCAACTCCTTCTCAGTACAAGGACGTGACCGCCCCAGCGAGGCAGCTGAGGCTGTTGCGGGCGCTCCGCCTTTGTGACTGCATGAACCCTCGTCGAGCGACGAGGGGGTGTGTTTTCGACCAATCAGGGCCTGGCAGCGGGCCTTGTTGGAGCTTGCAATGTGGCAGCTAACCCTCGACAGTAACGTTATCGCCCAGTCCTCGGTTTTGCGCACCCAACCAACAATCTACCACCACGTGAAACATGTTCATTTTGTTCTCAACCTTTTATGCTATAAAAAAATATACATTATGCATAGACCCGGGTGCAATGTAGCTTTTTCCGACGACAACCCCCCCCCCCCCCCCCCCCCCCCCCCCTTTTTTTTGTGTAGTTATCATAGCACCCTAGGGTGGTATGTCCGGGGGAACACGGTACGATTCCATGACATGTTACTGGTAACTGGTCGCAGCACGCTTCGAGCTCCCTGCTTGCTTAAAAACTCTACAGCTGTGTGAACGCTGCCCCTAAAGGTACGGTACGACTGGGTGCTTGAAGCCAACCAAGAGGCAATTGGTGTATTTTTTCATTAGAGCCCAGTCATGCGCTGCCACTGCAGCTTGGCAAGACCAAATGCTTGCCATAACGGGCCTGTATCCCATCCATGCAGGACTTACGAAACTCATTCGTGAGCTGATCTACAATAGATATATATTACTACCATATTCCTACGCCATACACCACCCGCACCACCCTGTTTCACCGTCTATTTACGGCATTTTATTAAAGTTTGTCAGGGTGTTTTTTGCTCTTCTGCTGTGCTGCTATCCTCCATATGCAGCGAGTGCAGCAAGAAATGCAGGAAAGTCCTCGCCACAGCATCTCCCACCGCCCCCCTCACAACAGGCTTCGCCCGTTTCTGCCCGCCCACAAAACACGAGTAATGATGATCCCCGGGACACGTGTCACCATACCGCGGCGCCTCCACGGCCCACGAATCAAACACCGCCATCTCAGCGCCTCTCGTCACCGACGCCGCCAGCTGGCGCGCGTGCCGATTGGCTGCAGCGAGATACAGGTTCGTCGCAGGCCCGGCAAAATTCCTCTTGATCGCATAGTCCGAGCAATGCGAGCCGGCGTTTGGGACGGGCGGTGGCGTTCGGAAGACGACGCGGGCGCGGTTGTCCCGGGCGGCGAGGAGTGCCCAGATGAAGAACTCAGGGAGGCGGGCGCGGAGGGCTTGCAGCGGCTCGGCACACCACTTGCCCGCCCAGTAGCCGCCCTCTATCACCGTCACATTGGCTGTAGTGGAGATGTTGGGGAAGGTGTGGTAGTTGTGCGTGTACTGCCCTCTCAACCTGCACTCAGAGAATGGGGTTGGGGGTGGGGGGAAGGGGTATGGGGGCGCAAAGTTCAGGCTTCGTGGATCTGATAGGCTCGGCACGCCATTTGCCGGCCCAGTAGGCCCCCCTGAATGGAAGAAGGAGCACCCACACACAAAGCACTTCTCAGGATACCATCCACCCAGTAGAAGTTGACTCGCAGCTTTGAGGCTCCTAAAAGCTCGTGCGAGGATGTATGGCAGTCCAGAAGGGGGCGAGGACAGGAGCAGCAGGGAGCAATCACACGCAGCCGTATTCGCGATTCCGATAAATGCCGTCCACCCAGTAGAAGCTGATCCGCAGCATGTGTGAAATTGAAGATGGGACGACGGCGGGAACGAGGGGAGGGAACGAGGGGAGGGGACAAAGGGAGGCGACGAGAGGAGGGGGAGAGGTGGGGGGGGGAGAGGAGGGAGAGAGGGAGCACTCACACGCAGCCATATTCGCGGTTCCTGTAGATGCCATCCACCCAGTTGAAGTTGAATCGCAGCTTTGAGACATCTCACACAGCATGTGAGAGCGGAGGATAGGTAAGAGAGGGGTGGGAGGAGCAGCAAGAGCACTCACACGCAGCCGTATTCGCGGTTCCTGTAGATGCCGTCCACCCAGTAGAAGTTGATTCGCAGCTCCTTGCCTGTGCGCTCGTCCGTGACCGTGAAGTTCATGTCCTCGTGCGACCGCACCATGCGCTCGTCTGCAAACCCTGGTAAAAAGGAGGAGGGGGGAGGGGGTAGACGGTGGTGGTTGGATGGGGAGGGGGAGGTTTAGAGGGTAAATGGAAAGGGTATGGTGGATGAGGCTCCTTGCCCGTGCGCTCATCCGTGAGAGTGAAGTTCATGTCCTCATGTGATCGCACCATGCGCTCGTCCGCGAAGCCTGGTGGAGGGAGGGCGGGGGAAAGAAAAGTTGTTAGCATCATCCGTGAGAGTGAAGTTCATGTCCTCATGCGACCGCACCATGCACTCGCCCGGAAGGCCTGGTGGAGAGAGAAAGGAGGAGGGGAGGGGAGGGGAGGGGAGGGGAGGGGAGGGGAGGGGAGGGGAGGGGAGGGGAGGGGAGGGGAGGGGAGGGGAGGGGAGGGGGAAAGGAGGTTTAGTGGAAGGGCATAGCGGAAGAGGCTGTTTGCGTGCAAACTCGTCGGTGAGAGGGGCTCATAGAAAGGAAGAGGACAACGTTGGCAGATGGAAAATGGAAAGAATAGCGGCAGAGGGGATGGTACAAACGCAGATGGAACGCAGCAGTCCACTCCATCTGTCACCAGGACAGCAGTGCACCAGGACAGCAGTGCACCAGGACAGCAGTGCACCAGGACAGCAGTGCACCAGGACAGCAGTGCACCAGGACAGCAGTGCACCAGGACAGCAGTGCACCAGGACAGCAGTGCACCAGGACAGCAGTGCACCAGGACAGCAGTGCACCAGGACAGCAGTGCACCAGGACAGCAGTGCACCAGGACAGCAGTGCACCAGGACAGCAGTGCACCAGGACAGCAGAGCACCAGGACAGCAGAGCACCAGGACAGCAGAGCACCAGGACAGCAGTGCACCAGGACAGCAGTGCACCAGGACAGCAGTGCACCAGGACAGCAGTGCACCAGGACAGCAGTGCACCAGGACAGCAGTGCACCAGGACAGCAGTGCACCAGGACAGCAGTGCACCAGGACAGCAGTGCACCAGGACAGCAGTGCACCAGGACAGCAGTGCACCAGGACAGCAGTGCACCAGGACAGCAGTGCACCAGGACAGCAGTGCACCAGGACAGCAGTGCACCAGGACAGCAGTGCACCAGGACAGCAGTGCACCAGGACAGCAGTGCACCAGGACAGCAGTGCACCAGGACAGCAGTGCACCAGGACAGCAGTGCACCAGGACAGCAGTGCACCAGGACAGCAGTGCACCAGGACAGCAGAGCACCAGGACAGCAGTGCACCAGGACAGCAGTGCACCAGGACAGCAGTTCACCAGGACAGCAGAGCACCAGGACAGCAGTGCACCAGGACAGCAGTGCACCAGGACAGCAGTGCACCAGGACAGCAGTGCACCAGGACAGCAGTGCACCAGGACAGCAGTGCACCAGGACAGCAGTGCACCAGGACAGCAGTGCACCAGGACAGCAGTGCACCAGGACAGCAGTGCACCAGGACAGCAGTGCACCAGGACAGCAGAGCACCAGGACAGCAGTGCACCAGGACAGCAGTGCACCAGGACAGCAGTGCACCAGGACAGCAGTGCACCAGGACAGCAGTGCACCAGGACAGCAGTGCACCAGGACAGCAGTGCACCAGGACAGCAGAGCACCAGGACAGCAGAGCACCAGGACAGCAGAGCACCAGGACAGCAGTGCACCAGGACAGCAGAGCACCAGGACAGCAGTGCACCAGGACAGCAGTGCACCAGGACAGCAGTGCACCAGGACAGCAGTGCACCAGGACAGCAGTGCACCAGGACAGCAGTGCACCAGGAGACAAGAGGTGGTTGATAGCAGCCGGGAAAAAAACACCTGACAGATGGTAACTCGGGTGGAACTAGAGCGGCCGAGAAATGCACCTGACAGGAGACATCTCAGGTGAAAAGACAGCACACGCACACACACCTGACAGGAGGTATCTCAGGTGAAATGACAGCACGCGCTGGTGCGAGTCTCCCACGATGTTGACCTCCTGAATGCCTTTCCGCACCAGCTGTGCCACCCACCCTGATGGCCGCTTCGGCTCATTGGCTGCACACGGGTAGAAGCGCCACCTGCCAGGGAGGGATTAAGTGGGAGGGATTAAGTGGGAGGGATTAAGTGGGAGGTAATGCTTTGTTAAAATGCCTTTATACACCAGCTGCGCCACCCACCCTGACGGTCGTTTCGGCTCACTGGCTGCACACGGGTAGAAGCGACACCTGCCAAGGGGGGATAGATTGGGGAGAACCAGTGCAGAGAGAAGGAAAGAAGGGAGAGGAGGGAGGTGGGGGGAGGCTGTGCTGAAATGGCCTTCCTCCCTCCCACACCAGCTGCTCCACCCAACCTCATGCCTGCTCCACCCAACCTCATGCCTGCTCCACCCAACCTCATGCCTGCTCCACCCAACCTCATGCCTGCTTCGCCCCCTTTGGTGCACACGAGTAAAAGCACCACAAGCCAGGGCAGGGAGCAGGGGGCATTGCAGGGGGCACAAATCTGCTGCACCAATCTTCAATTTAATTTACAAATTTCCTTTACTCTTGTCAGTGGAAGACGTGGAGCAAAACCAGACAAGCTACTGCGAACCAGGGTTTCCATGCCTCTCTCCCATGCCTGTTTCCCATGCCGCTCTCCCATGCCAGTTTCCCATGCCTCTATGCCTGTTTCCCATGCCGCTCTCCCATGCCTGTTTCCCATGCCTCTCTCCCATGCCTCTTTCCCTCCCTCTCGCCCATGCCTGTTTCCCGTGCCTCTCTCCCATGCCTGTTTTCCGTGCCTCTCTCCCATGCCTGTTTCCCGTGCCTCTCTCCCATGCCTGTTTCCCGTGCCTCTCTCCCATGCCTGTTTCCCATGCCTCTCTCCCATGCCTGTTTCCCATGCCTCGCGCCCATGCCTGTTTCCCATGCCTCTCTCCCATGCCTTTCCCTCCCAAGCCTCTCCCATGCCTCTCCCTCCCAAGCCTCTCCCATGCCTCCCGACTCACTCGAATCCGCCAGTCTTGGGCAGCACCCATCGCCTCTTGATGCCTGAGATGACACCTTGCAGCTTCTCCTCACCCTCTTTCCTTTCCCAAGCCTCTCCCATATCTCACTTGCCCTACAGCCTAGCCCATGCCTTTCCCAAGCCTCTCCCAAGCCTCCCGACTCACTCATATCCGCCAGTCTTGGACAGCACCCATCGCCCCTTGATGCCTGACACCTGGCACGGCGTCATTGGCAGCTTCTCTTCATCTTCCTCCTCTTCATCCTCATCCTCCTCTGTCGTCCCCTTTTCCAACAGCCTCCTCCCTTCCGCCCCTCCCCCTACCAATTTTCTCCCTCTGTGCGCCTCGTTCTCCTCTCCTGCCTCCTGCTCCTGCCATGTGCCACCCAACACGCGGCGAACACTGCTGCTGCTGCTGCTGCTGCTGCTGCTGCTGCTGCTGCTGCTGCTGCTGCTGCTGCTGCTGCTGCTGCTGCTGCTGCTGCTGCTGCTGCTGCTGCTGCTGCTGCTGCTGCTGCTGCTGCTGCTGCTGCTGCTGCTGCTGCTGCTGCTGCTGCTGCTGCTGCTGCTGCTGCTGCTGCTGCTGCTGCTGCTGCTGCTGCTGCTACTGCTGCTGCTACTGCTGCTGCTACTGCTACTGCTTGTGTGTTCTCTTATCTCGCTGGTTACTGCAGGAACAGTGGTGCTTTGATTGTTCCCGTTAGAGATATAGCTGTTAGCACCATTGTTTGAAGCTTCCCCAGTGCCAGTGACCGCAGCAACACCAGCTGCACGAGGAACTTTGGCTGTAGCAACAGCGGTCGCAGCAGCAGCTGCAGCAGTAGCAGTGGCAGTGGTAGAAGCAGTGGCAGCAGAATCAGTGTCGGAAGAGGCAAAAGGAGCAGCGGAGGTGGGAGGTGGAGCAAGGGAGGCGTTAGTCCAGGCGGCGTCTCTCTTTTGTGGCACGATTGTGACATTCCACGATGTGAGCACATGGAGGTGCGTCTGGCTCAGATGCTGCTTGTAGTTGGGGGCAAAGCGCAGGTTGGCGCAGCCTACACTCAGGAATGCCCTGAGAGGAGTGAGATAGGAGAGAGAGGAGAGAGAGAGGAGAGGGAGGAGATGAACACATGAGGAGAAGGGAATGGAGAGGTAGGAAAAGAGACTCAGGTTGTGCTGCTTGTAGTTGGGAGAGAAGCGCACGTTGGCGCGGACGACACTCAAGAATGCCCTGGGAGGAATCAGCAAGAAGATGAACACACGAGGCCAAGGGAATAGCGACTTGTAGAGTAAACGGGGCTCAGATGCCGCTTGTAGACTTGTAGTTGGGGGAAAGCCGGGTTGGCGCAGCGCAGCCTACGCTCAGGAATGCTGTGAGGGAAGAGAGGAAGTGCAGCGGCGCATCAGAAACAGAGGGGGAAAAGAGGCTAAAATGCATCTGGTTGACGAAACGCATGGGCAGTGGGGTTGGAATGGGTGTATCTGTAAGGTGAGTCAACGCACTGCTGGGTGGGAAGCTTTTGAAACGACTTCTGAGATGACTTTTGAGATGACTTCTGAGATGACTTCTGAGATGACTTCTGAGATGACTTCTGAGATGACTTCTGAGATGACTTCTGAGATGACTTCTGAGATGACTTCTGAGATGACTTCTGAGATGACTTCTGAGATGACTTCTGAGATGACTTCTGAGATGACTTTTGAGACGTCTCAAACACGCACCAGCACAATGGGTTAGTGGGTGCCTTCCGAGTCGCCTCAAACACTGGCTCGATGGGTTGGAATCGGTGTAACTGTGTAAGGTGAGTCGACGCACTGCTGTGTGGAAGCTAGGGAGGACATGAGAGGACTTTTGAGTCGACTCAAAAGTCAACTCGCTGCTGTGTGGAGTGGAAGCTAGGGAGGACATCAGAGGACAGGCTGACGCCGCTCCTGTACAGACCCACGTTTCAGTTCACAAGGCGAGCTGGGAGCCCCACGTTTCACAAGGCGAGCTGGGAGCCCCACGTTTCACAAGGCGAGCTGGGAGCCCCACGTTTCACAAGGCGAGCTGGGAGCAGGCGGGTGGGTCAAGTAGAACCATGCCTTCTGATGTGGCCAGTGACGTGACGACCAACGTTGCACCCATTCCCACCCATTCCAACCACTTCCCACCGATTCCCACCCCTTGGCGAGCACCTGTACTGCCCCACGTCCCAGAGGCGGTAAGTGAGGGCGAGCTGCAAGCAGGCGGGGGGGGCAAGTTAGGCCATGCCCCCGTAGCTGCCTGCACAATTTGGACTTTCCTTACACCCAATCTAACTCACTCCCACCACTCCTCAATACTTCCCACCCCTTGGCACGCACCTGTACTGCCCCACGTCCCAGAGGCGGTAAGTGAGGGCAAGCTGCGAGCAGGCGGGGGGGTCGAGGCAGCGCACGTCCCCGTGGGAGAGAGCAGGGCCCTTGAGAATCAACGTCATGTCCTTCTTCCACCAGCTCGCGTTGGGGTAGATCTGGTGGGACAGGGGAGATGAAGGGGAAGAACAATAGTGACTGTTCGGGTAGAGCACAGCATATTGCCGTGGGAAAGAGCAGGGCCCTTGAGAATCAACGTCACGTCCTTCTTACAGGGGTAGATCTGAGGAGATGAAGGGGAGAGAAGAGAGGCACGAGGGAGAACACCCGTGTTAGTGCACAACACAGCACAGAACAGCACAGCACAGAACAGCACAGCACAGCACAGCACAGCACAGCACAGAACAGCACAGCACAGCACAGCACAGCACAGCACAGCACAGCACAGCACAGCACAGCACAGCACAGCACAACACACAGCACAGCACAGCACAGCACAGCACAGCACAGCACAGCACAGCACAGCACAGCACAGCACAGCACAGCACCGCACAACACAGCACAGCACAGCACAGCACAGCACAGCACAGCACAGCACAGCACGGCACAACACGGCACGGCACGGCACAGCACAGCACAGCACAGCACAGCACAGCACAGCACAGCACAGCACAGCACAGCACAGCACAGCACAGCACAGCACAACACACCACACAGCACAGCACAGCACAGCACAGCACAGCACAGCACAGCACAGCACAGCACAGCACAGCACAGCACAGCACAGCACAGCACAACACACAGCACAGCACAGCACAGCACAGCACAACACAGCACAGCACAGCACAGCACAGCACAGCACAGCACAGCACAGCACAGCACAGCACAGCACAGCACAGCACAGCACAGCACAGCACAGCACAGCACAGCACAACACACAGCACAGCACAGCACAGCACAGCACAGCACAGCACAGCACAGCACAGCACAGCACAGCACAGCACAGCACAGCACAGCACAGCACAGCACAGCACAGCACTATAAGAGAGGGAGGGCAGGGCCCTTGAGGATGAGCGTCACGTCCTTCTTACACCAACTGGCGCTGGGGTAGACCTGAGGGGGATGAGAAGGGGGACCACGGGAAAAGGGTGAGGAGAAGGGATGAGAAGGGGGGGGCAGGGTAAGGGAACGATTGTGTGTCTAGATCACAGCACCTTGCCATGGAAGAAAGAGCAGGGCCCTTGAAAATGAGCGTCATGCCCTTCCACTCCACCAGCTGGCGTTGGGGTGGATCTGAGGGGACAGGGGAGATGAAGGGGAAGAATAATAGTGAGTGTTCGGGTAGAGCACAGCATATTGCTGTGGGAGAGAGCAAGGCCCTTGAGGATGAGCGGTGCGGTGAGCGTCATGCCCTTCCACCAGCTGGCGTTGGGGTAGACCTGAGGGGGGGAGAGAAGGGGGAACAACGGGAAGGTAGGAGGAAGGGAAAAAGGGGGAAGGTGTGAATGAGGGAGATGAGGAGAGGTGAGAGTGAGGGAGATGAGGGAAGGTGCGAGTGAGAGAGATGAGGGAAGGTGTGAGTGAGGGAGATGAGGGAAGGTGTGAGTGGGGAGATGAGGGAAGGTGTGAGTGGGGAGATGAGGGAAGGTGTGAGTGGGGAGATGAGGGAAGGTGTGAGTGAGGGAGATGAGGGAAGGTGTGAGTGGGGAGATGAGGGAAGGTGTGAGTGGGGAGATGAGGGAAGGTGTGAGTGAGGGAGATGAGGGAAGGTGTGAGTGGGGAGATGAGGGAAGGTGTGAGTGAGGGAGATGAGGGAAGGTGTGAGTGGGGAGATGAGGGAAGGTGTGAGTGGGGAGATGAGGGAAGGTGTGAGTGGGGAGATGAGGGAAGGTGTGAGTGGGGAGATGAGGGAAGGTGTGAGTGGGGAGATGAGGGAAGGTGTGAGTGGGGAGATGAGGGAAGGTGTGAGTGGGGAGATGAGGGAAGGTGTGAGTGGGGAGATGAGGGAAGGTGTGAGTGGGGAGATGAGGGAAGGTGTGAGTGGGGAGATGAGGGAAGGTGTGAGTGGGGAGATGAGGGAAGGTGTGAGTGAGAAAGATGATGGAGATGCAATCCCCACCTGCACCCATCAAATACCCCCCTGCACCCATGCACTGATCTCATAGCACCATAGCACCCTTCCCAAACCCACCTGCACCCAGCTGGCCGGAGCGTTGATCCAAACGCGCATGCCGCACTCCCTCCCGCGCACACAGCGCGCACACCCTTCCCCCCCCACCACCACTCCCGGGGGAAGCTGGTTGCGCGGAACCAGATAGTGGCCCTTCAATGGGGCTGATGGGGGGAGAGAGACGGGAGAACGGGAGGGGAAGGGCGGAAGGTGACGAGAGAGGGGAGCATCGGGGGGGAGAAAGTTGGCAAATTGGATGAAAGAAGGTTTTTGAGGTGCCTCAAACAAGGGAACATTGGATGGAAGAAGGGAAGACTGGTTGGAAGTGGGGAAGGCGAACGTTGGCCACACACTCCCGCCTGTCCACACAGCGCGCACACCCCTTTCCGCCCACCACCACCCCCCGGGAATAGTGGTTGTGCGGAACCAATAGTGGCCCTTCCACGGGGCTGATGGGGGGAGAGGAGGCGGAAAGGGAAGGGCGGAAGGAGTTGGGGGAACGTGAAGCTACGCACCCCTAGCAGGGGACACCCCTTTCTGCTCACCACCACCCCCGGGGAAATGTGGTTGTGCGGAACCAGATAGTGGCCCTTCCATGGGGCTGATGGGGGGATAGACGGGGGAAGGAGAGGGTAGTGGAAGACAGAGAGGACTGAGGAAGGGCGGAAGGAGGCGTGAAAGGGGAGCATTGGGGGAAAGGGGAGCATTGGGGGGAAGGAGATGCGAAACGCGCTAGGCACACAGCGCGCACACCCCCTTCCCCGCCCCGCCACCCCTGCGGGAAGGTGACTGCGCGGAACCAAGGTGTGGCCCTTCCGCGGGGCTGATGGGGGGAGAGAGGCGGGGGAGAGGGAGGGGAAAGGGGAGGGAGGAACGAGGAAAGGGCGGAGGGGGGTGAGAAAAGGGGAGCATTGGGAACGTTGGGAAGAAGGAGATGAAGAGCATGGGGTTATGCACCCCCCTCCCCCCCACGCACTTCCGCTTCCACCTACCACCGCCTTCGCACGGTAGGTGACCGCATGCACACATCCAAGGAGTGTGGCTGATGGGGGAGGGAGGAGGAGGCGGACGGGGGAAAACGGTTCAAAAGAGGACGAAAAGGGGAAGAAGCTTTTGAGAATTCTCAAAGGGGACAATCACACGAATTCTCGAGAATTTTGTGACATTCCACAACCTTATCGCTAGTAACAGCTACCCAAGGGGGTTCAACGGACGTGCTCTAATGACCTCCAAATCAAATCCAGACCCTAACCCAGACCCAAACCCAGACCCAAACCCAGACCCAAACCCAAAACCAAACCCAGACCCAAACCCCGACCGAATCCTCGGGCTCACCCGAGGAGGTCCAACAAACGGGTTCAAGCCCCTTATAAAAATTCTCAAAAGCGCCTCAGATTCAGCCGAATCCTGCGTAACCCCAGCAGGCCAAGTTTAGCCCAACCCCAGAACCGCGTAACTCACCCTAGGAGGCCCAACAAACGGTGTCGAGCCCCTCCTCACCAAGGCGGAACATTTTCCCCCATCCGCCGCGCCCCCCTCTCGGTGCCGCCTCCCAGCAAGTGTGTTCTAATGCATTCAGAACCAAACCCGGGAACCCAACCCCAGAACCACGTAACTCACCTGAGGAGGCGCAAAAACGTGTTCCAACCCCTCCTTCGCCTCGGCGGAACACTTTCCCCCATCCGCCGCGCCCCCCTCGCGTTGTTCCCCCCTCCCCACTCCCTCACAAACCCAAACCCCAAAATCATGTGGCTCACCCGTAGAGGTCCAGCAAACGTGTTCAAGCTGCGGCTCTTTCCCCCCGGCGGAACCCTCTCGGTGCTGCGCCCCCTCGTCGGCTTCTCCCCGTCCTCGTCCGCCGCTGTCACCTGCGACGTTGCTCGCCGCACCACTCCCCCGCCCCTGCGACCCCGTTGCGCCGCCTGCGACGGCAGCTGGTCGCCCTGCGACGAGCTTGTCCGCGAGCGACCACTCGGACGAATCCAGCGACGCCTCGTTGGCGTCGGTGGCGGCGGAACTGCCCAGGCGGATTCGGAACGGGGGGACGGGAAGGGGGCAAGGATTTTGGGGAGGAAAAGCTTTTGAGTCGACTCAAAAGCGCCTCGTTGGCGTCGGTAGCGGCGGAACTGCGAGACGGATTCGGAAAGGGGACGACGAATTGGGGGAAGAAAAGGGAGGGGGGGTGGGAGCGGGGCAGGGTGAAGATGGAGCGGAGGAGGGGGAAGGGTGGGGGGTGGGGGGAAGTGGGGGAAAGGGGGGCGGATGGGTTTGAATGGAGGGTTGGGGTGGAAAATGGAACTTGAGGAATGAAATTGGGTTAGGAAGGAGGTAAAGGAGTGAGGATTAAGGGACTGGAACTAGGTTGCGGTAAATGAGTGAACGACACAATCATAATCGATTGCGCTGCTCTCCCGCAATGCGTCCCTTCAAAGTTCGGCCTACAGTTCCCGCCATTCCCGTGACAAGCTGTTTCACTTACCTCGGTACAGGCACGTCCTTCGCTAGTAGCGACATCACTCCCTTCCCGCCAGCGGCGCTGCCGCGGTAGTCGTAGTAGCTGCTTCTCGCGGCGTAAGGCGACGCTTGCCAGGCGATCAAAAAGAGCAGAATTAGGTTTAGCAGAACCACATAGTACTTGCGTATACCCTCCGGCATCGCTTTGCATAGTCCCGAACCGGGTCCTGATCCTGGTCCCGAGCCGCCAGACGCCGGGGTTAATCCAACGGCTGGTCTCTTGGTTTTGCTACCCGATCCGACATCCGGAACCGTCGTGAAACTTAACGGTTGGTCGAGCCGCGGCTTGCTCTGCTGCTGGCTCGGCTGAAACTGGCTTCGAATTCGTCTAAGAACCCACATTTTGAAACGTTCCACTAGCAGTGACTCTACGGCTGGTCGTTATTTGACGGCTGGTAGTTATTTGACGGCTGGTAGTTAATTGACGGCTGGTAGGCGGGTCGCCTAGGAGCCGCAGTGGTACACGTCCCCAGCCTCGCGTGGCTTCCCGACGGTTCTTCGGACCGGCGAAGCTTTTTAGAAGCACTTCGGGACAAGGATCGGATCGGACGTTCCGTGTTTACTCTCAAGTAACTGTGTTATTCATAGAACGAATATTGCTGGGAAACGAACTGGACTAATCGGGTCGTAAACCAAACGCCATATTGACATAACCTGGGCCTGTGAGATTGATAGCAGTCTACAGGTTTGTACTCAACTAAGCGATACTTATTCTGGCCTGAAAAGGCGGTGGCCTAACTGAGAGGAGATTAGTACTAATACTAGTAGCAGCGGTTCGAGAACCGAGACCCAGACGACACCTGCAGGTCACGAACTGGCCTCCTCTCAAATGTTCCAAACGCTTACTGCTTCCAGTTTTCTTCCTGTCACGACTTTTGACGAAATAGACTACGGTTCAAAACGCATTTGTTCACAGCACGGATGATCTTAATCCGTCGGGAATACAGCGCTGGACGATCCTAGACGATCTAGTAAGCCGACTCGCGGCACGTGACTAAACTCGCCTGCCTGTTGCCACAACCCGCGATAGGAAAGAATGGAACGTTTGGCTTCTAAACATCACTCGACCATAAAGTACTTTGCGAGTTCCTAAAGTGAGACACTACATAATTAGTACCCACACCGACCAAAACTAGGTTCTGGCATTTCTCCTGTCAGTTGTGGTCTTGTGAAGGTACACTGATACCCCTCTTGCGAACTCTCGGGGTTGGTAACACTCATTTCGCCAACACCAGCACCAGCCGTTGGAAGGGAAGGCCCTATCAGCGGAAATGGTCTACCCCTATCGCGTCGCAAATGGAGGGGGGAATGTGGGGGAGGAGGAACCGACCGAGCCGAAACCCACGGTCCCTCCTCTCACTCAAACTGCGAGGTTTTCTCGCACGACGAGTCGCAAGGAACAAAAATCGCTCTCCCTTCGGATGCGCGATTCGTCAGAGAAACGGCACGCGTTATAGTAAGATGACTTAGGGAAGATACAAGCATGATATACTCCGCACCATGCTTGTGATGTGCTCTAATAACAACCACATCCAACGCAAGCGTGGTCTATGTTCAGGTACAACTGCATCTCTAGTCAAATAAAACGCGTTCACTGAGACCTTTCATGCTGAGCGTATCAACGAGATGACATGTGTGAATAGAACTCCATTCATATCCCATTTATACAAATAATCCTGCATTGCATACGCATTTTGTTTTCTTCCCTCAATACCCTTGCTCTCCCCCATGCTCTATGTAATGAATCATAGACCTGACAACAGCTTCCCCAACATCCCCCCTCATCACCACCTTCCCTTGCCCATTCGATCCGTAACAATGATAATGATGATCGCGAGGACACACATCCATAAACCGCGGTGCTTCCACTTGCCAGCTGTCAAAAAACTCTATATGAGGGACAGCTCTACGAGCCATACCAGGACCACCAGGAGCAGCAAAACTGCCCGCATTCACCTGGTCAATCAGGTGTCTGGTCAGGCGATTAGCAGCGGAGAGAAAGAGGTTGGTGGCGGGGCCTTCGTAGATGCGGCTGGCAATGCTGCAGCTGTCCCCGCCGTTGGGCACTGGCGGTGCCGACCTCACGATTAGCCGAACACGGCGCCTCGTGCCTGAGACTGCTTCTTCTGTGGTGGTGGTGGTGGTGCTGCTGCTGTTGCTGCTGCTGCTTCTGCTGCTTGTCGTGTTACCCTGTAACAGGCGTTCTGCTCTCTCATAACCACCTGTTGCTGCGGACAGCCTGCTAACAGCAGCGGCCGGATTTCCCCTAAGGCTGGCCCCGCTTGGTGCAGGAGAGAGTGGGGATGAGGATGCATGAGTCAGGGTGACAGAAGAAGCAGCAGCAGCAGGGGCGACAGCAGCGGCAGCTGCTTGGGATTGGGCCCAGGCGAGGTATTCAGGGAGGTGGGTGCGGAGGGCGGTGAGCGGATGCAGACAACGCTTGCCGGCCCAATAGCCACTGTTGATGATGATGACGTCACTTGAGAGGGAGATATTGGGGAAGGAGTCATAGTGCTGCGAGAAGGCCCCTCGGTGCCTGTTATGGGGATGGGGATGGGAATGAGGATGGGGATGGGGATAAAGATCATAAGGTGGTTATGCAATTCTAATAAGGACAAGTCGAAGGTCCTGGATGTTGGGAAAGGGGTCATAGTGCTGCGAGAAGGCCCCTCAATGCCTGTTGGGACCACAGTGGGGGAGGGATGGATTGGGAGGGCAGGGTGTGGGCAGAGGGAGGGTATGGGGGTGGAATGATGGGAGAGGGAAAAGAGTCTTAGAGCTGGGAGAGTGAGGGGAAGAGTGGCGGGGGTACAAGGGGCACTCACGTGCAGCCAAACTCGTCGTTGCGGTAGATGCCATCCACCCAGTAGAAGTTGACGCAGAAGGTGCAGGGAGTGGGGAACGTGGAGGGGGGGGGGGGGGGAGGGGGGGGGGGGGGGGGGGGCAGGTACAGAGCCACTCATGTGCAGCCAAACTCGTCGTTGCGGTAGATGCCACACATTTCAAGTGGCTGCATAAGAAAGTGGCTTTCTACCACCAGTATATCCACCCAGTAGAAGTGGTTGCAGAAGGTGCACAGAGCGGGAGGAGGGGGGAGGTGCGGGCACAAGGGGCAGATAGTGGGGAACGGGGAGGAGGGAGGGAGGTGCGGGCACAAGGGGCAGAGAGTGGGGAACGGGGAGGAGGGAGGGAGGGAGGTGCGGGGGCACTCACGTGCAGCCGAACTCGTCGTTGCGGTAGATCCCATCCACCCAGTAGAAATTGATCCGCAGCGTCTCGTTCTTTCCGTTCCGCGCCACAAACGCCAAATCGTGCCGCCCCTTCCGGTTCGCCAGGTCGGCCTCGCCCGACAGCATGTAGAACAAATGCGCGGCGAGCATGCGGTGGTGCGAGTCCCCCGCGATCGAGATCTCTCTGACGCCTCGCCGGTTGAGGGAGGAAATCCACTCACTCACTGGGGTCTCTGGGGTGGCACAGGGGAAGGGTACCCACTTCCATGTGTCTTTTCTCTTGCTTCTCTTGCTGCCCCTGCTTCCACTGCTTCCACTGCTTTCACTGCTTCCACTGCCATTGCCACCGCCACTGTCAGCATCACTGTCAGGTTCGATCTGAAGCCATCGCCCCACAACTGACCCGCTGCACGGGCTAATGCTCCCCTCCGCCTCTCCCTCCTGTTCACCGCCTCTGCTAGTCATCTGCGCCTCATCCTCTTCCTCCTCGTTCCCTTCTCTCCTCTCGGATTTCTGTGCTCTTTCTTGTAGCACACGTGGCAGTCCAGGAATGGCCAAGTCTGCTTGAGGCGAATGGGAAACCTTCTGAGGCGCCTCAAAATGGGAAGCTAGTACAGAGTTTCCTACTTTAGCCCCTTTGCAGCCTATCCTGCTGTCGCCAGGAGCAGCATCTTGAAGCGCGTCAGAAGACGTCCCAGGAGGGACTAGTTCCCCTCCAGGAGTCCGATATATGAGTGTGGAGTTTCCCACTTGCTCCTCTGCGATCGCTGCCTCGCCTCCCACGCTCGACTGCCCTGCTGTCGCCAGGAGCAGCAGCCTGCGAGTGAAATCCTCGCTATTGTCTGCTTCGTAAAGGGATGGCCGGCTGGTGGTTGCTGCTTCGTTTAGAGAGGTGGGTGGTGTGCTGGGTGGGAGAGTGCGCTGCGATGGGAGGATTGTGATGGTCCATGCTGCCACGTCATGGGTGACGTCAGCATTGCTGGGAGGAGGAGGAGGAGGAGGAGGAGGAGGAGGAGGAGGAGGAGGAGGAGGAGGAGGAGGAGGAGGAGGAGGAGGAGGAGGAGGAGGAGGAGGAGGAGGAGGAGGAGGAGGAGGAGGAGGAGGAGGAGGGTGCAAGGAGGAGGTTAGTGCATCCTGCATGGAGGGAGGCCCTGTGATCAGGGAATAAAAATTGGAGAAAAGACGCTAGAAGGTGCTAAAACACAAACAATCGGGCATCATGGGAAGAAGACAAAAGACGAGGACATGAGACGAATGCGTAAGGAGAGATGAGGAGGTGAGAGTAGGCTATTGTAGGTATGTCCCGGCCTCCCAGGCGTCCCAGGCGTCCCAGGCGTCCCAGTATAAAAGCAGCCAGGCAGTTTTTTTCAATCTCCACCAGAGCAGCCTATCAACCACTCACCGGTACGTCCCGGCGTCCCAGGCTCGGTAAGCAACGATGAATCGGGAGCAGGCGGGAGGGTCGGCGCAGACAGGGTCGGCGTGGAGCAGCGAGGGGCCGGTGAGGGAGAGAGCGAGCTCACGCTTCCACCAACTCAGCACGGAGGAGTTTGCGGGAGGAGTGGATCGTTGAGGGTCGTCCACCAGGGATGAATTAGACGGATAGTTAAATGGAGATGCTGTGGTTGTGGTGCTGGCGGTTGTGGCGGTGGCCGTGGTGGTGCTGTCATTGCTGATCGCGTCAGCAACGGGGGGGAGCGTCCACGTGGCGCCTGGCGATTGAATGCTGATGAAGAACGTGCAGGTCTGGCCCACGGTGCAGGTGGAACAGCCGCTGCCATCTACAAACAGTCCGCCTTGCGTTATAGCGGGTTCCGGTGCTGCTTGTAACGGGGATGTTGGCTCTGCTGACGTGGACGTCCAGCAGAGTGGAAGATCTGGAGTCGGGGGAATCCATGAGACTGATTGTAACACGTCATCATCACTTGATGTCGTGTCAGAACCTGTCGCAGAGCTGTACAGCTCAACTGCCACGTCAGCATCCAAGACACCAGCAGTTACATTCTCAGACGTGCCGCTGCCAGCAAGAATCAACGGGTGTTTTGGAGCTGCCGGATTTGTTGAATCATCCGACGGCTCAGATTTGCGCGTCTCAGAATCAGTAAAAATGAGCGGTTGCTTCTGTAGCACGGGCTTTCCCCGCAGTTGTTGCAAACCCGGGGTTGTTTTTAACGAGACTACGTCTGCCGAGGCCGGTTGTGACTGCGACGAGCGTGACTTTGCCGCGCGGAAATCCTCTTTAACCGAGTCAGCTCTTAGCGAGGATGGAGAAGGAGGGGAACCTTGGGGATTGGCGGCGGGAGGCCAGGCAAACAGACTGCACATGGGGGGGTGGGGTAGGGGGGGGGGGGGGGAAAGAAAAGGCAGGAAGGAAGGGGGAGGGGAAGGAGGGGTGGGGAAAGGAGCAAGGGGTGCAGGGGTTGGAAGATTCACGCGGGGAGGAGGGGGGGGGGAAATGCTGGAAAGAGGGGGCGGCGGGGTTGGTGAGGAGGGGGAAGGAAGCGAGCGAGGAGTGGTGGGAGAGTTTGGAGATGGGGGAAGAGGGAGGTTGGTGCGCACGGTTGGGGGAGGTCCGGGGATTGACCGGGGGAAGGGGGAAGGGGGAAGGGGGAAAGGGAAGAAGGTGTGCTCAGGGGGGTTGAAAAGACAGGAAGCAGGGGGGGAGGGGAAAGGGGGGGAGAGGGGTGGGGGGGAAGGGAAAAACAATGAGTGGGGATGGGGGGGTGGAAGATAGGGGAAAGGGGAGGGGACAAGGGTGTGTGGAGGTCCGCGTCATGCCCCGGACCTCCACACGGGGGAGGGGAGAGTGGAAGAAACTGCGCACAAGGGGGGAATTCGGGGGAGAGGCAAGAAACGGTAGACACCTAGATAGTTGATTGGGGACGGGGGCGGGGGATAGAATAGATTATATTCGACTCAGCAGTCACCTATACTTCTCACCTAGATTGCTGCTCCAACATAGAATAAACGCGTTTAGTGGAAAGGAGAAAAGGAATTGACGCTCAATACGCGGAAATCGGAAAGAGGCGCGTGAATACTTATGAAAACACGTGACGGGGCCTTTGGAAAGGTTCTGAAGCAGGGCGGAGCGGACAATTTAGCCATTTCTTAGTCACACGTAACCACTTCCAGCCAATCCTAACCACTCTTGCTGTACGCATACACCTATGCTCGTGCCTGTGTCCGTACGATCGTACACACATCCGTACGCACAGCCGTACGTACGTACGAATCTACGCACCTCGGGAGCCCGTCCGCGCTACTCTCAAGTTTCATCTCCTCGAGATCCACGACGGGCGGCCGGCTGCTCCAATCGCCTTGCGACACGTGGCGCCACAGCTGCACGGCGACCAGCGCCACTAAGAGGAAGTCGATTAAGAGGTAGTGCCAACGGCTCCGAACCACGTCTACAGCCAAGTCGCGCACCGCAGCGACGCGCTCCGCGATTAATCTCCGCACGCGCAGTCTCCCTTCATGAACGCGTTTCGCGTCTCGAAAATCTCGATCATCGTCTCGCGAATCGCCTCGACTATCGTGTCCGAACCTGTCGACCTCCATCTCCCTCGATACTCTTACTGCCTCTTTTGTCTCCGTTGACTCCGTTGACTACTCTTACTTGCTCTGTTGTCTCCGTTGACTCCGTTGGCTACTCTTACTGCCTCTGCTGACTTCTTGACTCCGCTGACTCCGCTGACTGCGCTGACTTCTCTTACTGCCCGAAGATTTTACGGCTTGTTTCGCTGCTAGCTCGTGCAAGTACCTTGACGACCGAGTTGTGCGGCGCCGCCGACTGGCGGCGGCAAATTCCTGGCTCAATCCGAGCAACAGATTGCAAGAGCGAGAGAGGAAGAATGCGTCTGGCTCGTGTGGAAGATTGGCCGAACCGTGCCGGCCGAGTGTCGATGTTTTCAAGGGTGATAGGAACTGTGAATGCGCTATTTGAGGCGTCTCAAGATCCGCCGAGCGTCGATGCTTCCAAGGGTTGTAGAAATTATAAACGCGCTTCCAGAAAAAAGTTTTCTACTATGGAAGCAAGTCAAAGGGGCGTCTCGTATGTCAGGAACGCATGGAATGGGGGCATAGCCGCGCGTGGTAAAGAAGAGCTTTCAAGGAACTGATGCATTCATTGCACGGGCGGTACTCGCATGTCCAGTGAACGCGACCGCCAGTCAGTCGTTAATGAAATCATAACTTTCGATGAAGGTTGCGGGTGTTGTTGTGATGTGATGGTTAGGAGGAGGATGATGAGCCATAATTCACAGGTCACATCACGATTCACGGCGGTGTCCGCAAGACTCTCAGAGCAGGTACACAAACTATCACCACCATTCCTTTCAACACACGCCCCGCCCCACACTTGACAGGCCACCAAACAAAACACAAACGGGATGGACACGCAACACCCAGCTTAAACTACCCGGAACCAGCTTGACCGACTTGCATCGTTTACGGAATCCCTCCACCAAGTTCCCCCGATTGGTCGTGCTGAAGCGGCACGATTTCGCGCACCGACGACGAGTTTGGAATTGGAACTCGCGCGACGCGGGAGGATGAGCCCGCCATTCTTGCGTGCGCACCCGAGACGCGTTCGTAACTTTCATGCCCCAAAATGGTAACATGACGAAGTTCGCGACAGACTTAGCACCACCCCCTTTTCATTTACACTCTACAACGTGATTCACTATGAAGCCAATGCATACACCAGACCTACGCTTCGAGGCCACAACCAAACAGAATAGACTGAAGCTCATCTCAAAGCACCACACTTCATTTGATCAGATAAGCAATCGCTACTGACTTCAGGAATGACCTTAAAATTGTCTGAATTGATTAGATAGCGCCACAAAAAGGCAGGACTCCACTTGTGATGTAGGCAAGATATAAAAGCAAAATGCACCTGACGAAGAATCAACATACACGCACAAAGCTCCCAACAATGTACAACTTTCCAGGCGGTACCTGTACCACACTCGCATCTAGGCAGCTTACTTGAAAAACCCTTTCCTTTTGCCAAAGAACCCTTCCCTCTTGCCAATGAACCCCTTGCGTTTGCCACGGAAAAGACCCTTGCGCTTGCCATAGAAGCCTTTGTGCTTCCTTCCCTTGTACTTGTGCTTGTGGTGACCCACATGCACGTGAGCCACATGACCAGCTGCATCTCAACACCACACGAAACGACACAGCAAAGTTAAAGACTGAAATACACGCAACTGACAGGACCTCAGCATATCCCCGCAAGGCAACATGGAAGAGAAGAATAACACCCTCTTGGGAAATGCGGGAGGCCCTTTTTGCAGCCAGCCACCACATAGGGCGACATTCAAGCCGGCAGGTGCAAAAAAAATCACAAATTCGATACAAATTCGATCTAGAAGCGAAGATGTTACTCGCACTGACTTATCTTCGCTGCATCTCCCGCTTCTCCCGGGCTGGACAAGGAACATTCGACAACATCGCAATGTCGCCACGATTCCTTCATCCATGGCAGATGTAGGTCACATGGGATGGTGAATCCACATGTACATGTACATTCCCACACTAACAGCAACAAGAGTAATTTTAAGCTCCGCGAGATTCAAGGCGCGATCCACAAATCAAGCTTTCAGGCTCACCTGGGTAGCCGTGGGGTGCGGGATAGCCGGCAGGCGGGTATCCTTGAGGGGGATAGCCAGCGGGAGGCGGGTAACCCTGAGGAGGATATCCTTGAGGGGGGTAACCGGCGGGTGGGTAACCCTGTGGAGGATATCCTTGAGGGGGATAGCCTGCGGGTGGAGGCGGGTAACCCTGCTGCGGAGGATAACCGCCTTGCGGTGGAGGGTAACCCTGAGGAGGATATCCTGGATAACCCTGCGGAGGCGGATAGCCCTGAGGATACCTCGGATCTGCGGGAACGCGTGAACGGATATAGAAAAGGCCAACTCAGCAATATTAATGATACACTTGGATCTAACATTTAAATAAAGAAAGTCTGCTAAAAGAAGCGCACGCCTGAAGAATAGTGGAGCCATAGTAAGATAATTTAAAACTTTCTTACGGTGGCTTTCTTCAAGAAAGCCTGCTAAAAGAAGCGCACGCCTGAGGTCAGATCCAAAAAATTATCGGAGAGACATGTGACAATGGCGTCTTACCCGACATGATGCTGGGAGATGCCGGATCAGGAACCAGTTATGACTGCCGCTTTAGCTTAGAAGATGAGCCACAGTGCCAGACTGTTCAGCAATGGACAGCACTGCTGCTTTCATAGAGGCTGCTGCACCAAGCTCGGCTCCATCATTATGTCGGTTGGGAGAGAAAGGGCAAATGAATGTTTTCTGCATTTGTCTGTGGTAACATAGGTATGGAGTGGTTCAGTGTGAGGGCAGAGTGGTTTTGGAGGCTCCCAGGTGTCGGAGCCGGTGTGCCTGAGAAGATCTTAGTACGGTGCAGTGGGTTTTGGTATGGTGATGTGAGAAGATAGTTTTCCAGCCCCCCTTGATTTTTGGTTCCCTGATATCTAGGGGGAGTGAAGTCCCACCTATCAGAGGAGCTGCGCAATTCGCCTGGCTCGGTGCTCCCGGCACCACTGCTACTCCCTTCGATGCTCAGCGCGTTCATTCACAGTTTCATTACGGTTCATTCTGAGCGGTTACTCTCGTTTCGTCACGTTTTTAAACGGTTGATTTTCAAAACAGCTCTAAACCAGTTGGAATCTTTTTGCGCCACGACGGATAAACTGTACGATTATGAAAATTGAACGGGCTGACCCCGCCTTGAGGATGGTTCTTGCCACGTTCACTAGGGCGGTGTACTGTTGCCGCACCACTTGGTGCGCCCCCCCCGGACAGCACCAAATTGATGCTTCTCCCGACATTCTACCGGTGTTCCTACAAGCTCGCTTTTCAGGGCGTATTCCCAGATATTAGGCTCGGGAAACTGAACCCCTTCCCGAACCTAACGGGTGCTGTGCAGCCCTGTCTGCCCTCCTTTCCCCAAAAGAACGGTGAATCAGTGAAGCACTCGCAATCCCCCTCACCCAGGCAAAATGGGTGCGAGGGTGGTGCGGCCCTGGTTCAGAGTCAGAGGGGTGATCCAGGGACCGCACCAAATGGTTCCGGGCAGGGATAAATGCTTTTCGTTGTCCTGGTTGGCCCATTTGCTTTCAGGCCATGCAACCTTCCAATTGCCATCGCGAAAGAATGATACACGGTCTGGGTTAAAAAAAAACTTCCTGCCACCCTCTTCGCCACTACAACAACTTTCGCCAACCAAATCCCTGCAGCTGCGCGGAGGGTGGCAGGAGGCTGTGTTGCACCAACGTGGGGGTGCGATAATTCGCCGAAGCCTGATGCCAGACCACGTGATGCAGTGCTGTCCTGTCCGCCCCCGCATGAAGTGGTGCGGCAACAGAACACCGCCTAGAGAGTCATGGCAGGCTGGGGCGTATTCCATTATGATGGAGGCTAAGATTTGGAAGTATTCTTACTAGGAATCTAGTCACAACGAATCTATTCTTTCTAGAATCTAGTCTAGGAATGAAATATAAGAAATGTATGGATTTCCATTTTTTACTAGTCATCTGCATATTGTTTGTAACATATCAAATATCACATCTCCACGAGATCTTTAAAAACTCGTACCGTAACGCAGTCACAACGTCACCAGTGGGCACCATAAAACCAAGGTGTTTCAACCATCGAGGCTAAATCTGGCATAAAACTGAGGTGTTTCAACCTAGACCGCACGTTTGGACAAGCCCCCAAGGTTATTGCAAGAGGAGGATAAGACTCTAAATCTGTGATTGCTTGGCAAGATCTTATCATGTCTGAACTTGCCACCATTATTCACAATCCTCCTCCAGCTGCCGCTTCCAGACAACAAGCCGGTGCTTCTAATGGATGCAGCGGAAAGAGCGGAAGAAAAGCCCGAGGTATTCACTGTAAAAAGCGAAAAAAAAACACATGGAGGTAGTGTGTAGTTTCAACGTTGGATGCATCCAAGGATGGAAGAAACTGAGGTGCATAATTGATGGTATGGAGGGGAAGGGAAAGAAGGAAAAGATGGAAAGAGGGGGCAAAAGGTTGAAAGTGTGCATGTACTCTGTGTTAACGTGTGTGTGTGCACGCACGCACATATACGTGTCAGAATCCCAGCCACTAACCACTGGGATAAAAGGGCTTATTTGTGTAGCGGGTGAGTGCGCCCATAACCCCCCAGACCAACGTGCCTGTAACCCTTCCCTAGGATCAATCGGAGATCTCCAGTGAATCTCTGCCAATACATGACACATACACGTATGCATGCATAAATGCATGCGTGCGCGCGTGCGCGTGCGTGCGTGTGCGCGTGTGTGCGTATGATTGAGTGTGATTAAGTGCATGTACTCTAAAAGCATTCTGAAGCAAAGAAAAAAACAAAAAAAGGAAAGAAAAGAAAAGAAAAGAAAAGAAAAGAAAAACGAATCACTACTCACGGAATGGTCCAGACGCCGATCTGTGGTGCGCCCGCCAGGCTGAACAACGGATTGCACGCTCCAGTACACCCGTACCCATAGTACGCACACACATTCGTGCAGTTTCCCACCCCTCCAGGAGCAGGCTCTATGCGGGTGTAGGAGAGGACATCAGAGGCGCGGGGGAGAGTGATGTCTGTGCAGCCATCCCAGTTGACCCGCATGGTGGATGTGAAGCGAGTGATGGTGAAGTTGGGTAGAGTGTACAAGGTGAAGCTTGTGGAGGAGACGGTGGGGGTGGTGCCTGCAAGGGGAAGGGGAAGAGGAAGGAACACAAGGAGGTGGAACGTGTATAAACCACAATATGAGGAAGCTTGGGTGCATGTACAAGGTGAAGCTTGTAGAGGAGACGGTGGGGGGTGGCGCCTGCAAGGGGAGGGGAACATGGGGAAGAAGGAATGTCACACACTCTCACACACAATGCATGCAGTTGTCCTCACACATGCATAATCAGGACACAACACAAACAGGGCAACTTCTGGTCTCAAAAGACATACATGGAAGTATCCAGTGCAGGTCATGCCATGACCAGGAGGGGAACATCAGTACAGCTCACTCAAGCACACATGCTCCTTGCGCACAAACACATACCTTACAGGAATCTAGTGCTTGTCATGCCATAACCAGAAGGAGCGCACATCAGCACAACATACACTCCCGCACTCATCACACATCACATGCTCTTGTGCACTCACAAGTACACACCTTTCACGCATCCGGTGCTGGTCATGCCATAAGTAGGAGCGCAAATGCATCCACACAACACACGCTCCTGCACATGCACACAGCACATGCTCTTGTCATGCACTGCACTCACACCTACATACGTCACACCCGCACACACACATACCTTTCACGCATCCAGTGCTGGTCATGCCATAACCAGGAGCGCACATGCAGTAGGCAGCCCGGGTCAATGGGAGAGGGGTGCACGTGGCACCTGCAGGGCAGGCCCCACACGTAGCAGGACCTGTAGGGAGGGCAGGAGGAGCGGGAGGAAGAGTGGGGTGGTTGTGTGGGGTGAGGTGATGATGTGGTGCTGTGTGTGCGGCATGCCAGAGAGCGGCCATTCAAGTGGCCCCTGCAGGGCATGACCCACACGTGGCGGGTCCTGTGGGGAGGGGAGGTGGGGTGGGGCTTAGTTGGATTTGACGGTCGAGCAGGCCACCGTCAAGCGTCAAAACGGACCGTTTTGACGCTTGACGCTTGATGGTCGTTTTGACGCTTGACGGTCCCTGAGAAAATTTCCGGGCAGCCCGAAATCGAAATTTGTTTCAGGCGCAGAAAAAAAAATCCGATTCTAAACATCGCGACTGCTAAGGCACTCGAGATCGCGAGTGTTAAGCACCTGTTAAGGCGACTACTAAGGCACTCGACCTCGCGACTGCAAAGGCGACCACTAAAGCACTCGACATCGGGACTGCTAGGGCAATATCGTGACTACTAAGGTGGCATCGCGACTACTAAGGCAAAATCGCGACTACTAAGGCACTCGATGTCAGGACTACAATGTCTCTTAACACAAAATCCAGCCCCTCTACCCCTTTCGACCGCACTACAACTACATAACTCAACCTGCACAGCACAAAATCCAACCCCTCCACCCCTTTCGACTGCACTACAACTACATAACCCAACCTGCACAGCACAAAATCCAATCCCTCCACCCCTTTCGACCGCACTACAACTACATAACCCAACCTGCACAGCACAAACACCCCCCTGGCTTTTTTTTGGCTGCCCGAAAGTTTTTTTTGCCTGCCCGCCAGAGCGTCAATTACACCGTCAAAATCTCAGAATGTTCCGTCCAGCGTCAAAACCGGACCGTCAAAACGGAACCGTCAAAACCGCTTGCTCCGTCAAATCCAACTAAGGGGTGGGGAGGTGGGGTGGTGAGCTGACAATAACACGGCACAGAGAGCCAAAGAGGTGAGTATCACATACCGAGAGGTGAGAAGTGGTGAGAGGTGAGAAGTGGTGAGAGGAGAGAAGTGGTGAGAGGTGAGAAGTGGTGAGAGGTGAGAAGTGGTGAGAGGTGAGAAGTGGTGAGAGGTGAGAAGTGGTGAGAGGTGAGAAGTGGTGAGAGGTGAGAAGTGGTGAGAGGTGAGAAGTGTTGAGAGGTGAGAAGTGGTGAGAGGTGAGAAGTGGTGAGAGGTGAGAAGTGTTGAGAGGTGAGAAGTGGTGAGAGGTGAGAAGTGGTGAGAGGTGAGAAGTGGTGAGAGGTGAGAAGTGGTGAGAGGTGAGAAGTGAGAGGTGAGAAGTGGTGAGAGGTGAGAAGTGGTGAGAGGTGAGAAGTGTTGAGAGGTGAGAAGTGGTGAGAGGTGAGAAGTGGTGAGAGGTGAGAAGTGGTGAGAGGTGAGAAGTGGTGAGAGGTGAGAAGTGAGAGGTGAGAAGTGGTGAGAGGTGAGAAGTGGTGAGAGGTGAGAAGTGGTGAGAGGTGAGAAGTGTTGAGAGGTGAGAAGTGGTGAGAGGTGAGAAGTGGTGAGAGGTGAGAAGTGGTGAGAGGTGAGAAGTGGTGAGAGGTGAGAAGTGAGAGGTGAGAAGTGGTGAGAGGTGAGAAGTGAGAGGTGAGAAGTGAGAGGTGAGAAGTGGTGAGAGGTGAGAAGTGGTGAGAGGTGAGAAGTGGTGAGAGGTGAGAAGTGGTGTGAGGTGAGAACTGGTGAGAGGTGAGTATCACGTACCCACACACGTGCCGGAATCCATATTGTGAGCATACATAGGTCACCGCACCCAAATTTTGCGGCGTCGCCTGGTGGTGGGACGATCTTTGAGGCGCCTCAAGAGACAGGGAATAACACTAACACGTACCCACACACGTGTCGCCCACCATCTCGTATTTGCACACACAGGTCACTGCACCCGCAGCGTCCGTCACACATTCATGGTTGCCATCACAGATAGAGCACGGCTCTGCAGGAGGGGAGGTTTGCGGGAGGGGGGCACGAGGAGCGGGGCTTTGAGCCGAACTTTAAGTCGACTCAAACGACACTTCGTTACAGTGGCACAAGGTGGGGGGCTTTGGAGCCAGTTATGAAAATGCAGGGTGCTTCATGCAGGCATGGTTGCCGTCACAGATAGCGTGTTTTGAGACGTCTCAAAACATGCTAAGTAAATGCAAGGTCCTTCACACATGCAGGCATGGTTGTTGTCACAGATAGAGCACGTCTGTATGTACAAGGGGGGAGGTGTGGGGAAGAGGGAGGCGGGGCCAAGGTAAGGGGGGTTTTGAGTCAGTTATAAACGTTCAGGTGCTTCACGCATGCATGGTTGCTGTCACAGATAGAGCACGACTGTGCAGGGGGAAGGTGCGGGGACGAGGGGGGGGGGGGGGGGGGAGGTTGAGTTTTGGTTGGTACTCCAAAAGTCGTTTTGACAATCATCGTGAAGAGAGGCAGTGGTTTTGAGTCGACTCTTCAAGGAGGAGAAGTCGCTGACAGAACAACCCCAAGAAGTTCTTCACCCCCCCGTAGCACTGTACTGAAGGGTTTTACTTGTTTTGAGTCGACTCAAAACACGGTTTTACTTGTTTTGAGTCGACTCAAAACACCCTCCCCCCCCCATAGCACTGTACTGGAGGGTTCTACCGTCTATCTTTTGCTTCAAGCCCAACTAAGTTTGCAGCTCGCTAAGAATAATGTTACAACCCCCCGTAGCACTGTACAGAAGGGCCCTATTGACAGTTTTGTCCTCATGTCCACTCCTCCCTCAATCAGTTACGAGTGCGGGATGTTTTGCATTCTGTAAATGTATTTCATCCAATAAATAGATAGATAAATAAATGAATGAATGAATGAATGAATAAATAAATAAATAAATAAATAAACAATCAAATAAATAAATGAATAAATAAATGAGTAAATAAATGAATAAATAAATAAACAAACAAATGAATGAATGAATGAATGAATAAATAAATAAATAAATAAATAAATAAACAAACAAATAAATAAATAAATAGTAATTGTGATGGCGTCTCAAATAGAGACTGGCTCGGCAGGGGACATGTGTGAGAGAGGGAGGTTGGAGTTTGTTTGGTACATGCATTTGGAAGTCATTGTGACAATCACTATCACACATGCATGGTTGCCGTCACAGATAGAGACTTGCTCTGCTGGGGGTGGGGGAAGGTGTGGGGAGGGGTGGGTGGGGTTGCTGCCGCACGTTTCTGCAGCAGAAAAAAAGGGAAATAGGAAAAGGAAGAAAAGATTGCATGGTTCCAAGCAGACTGTCAGGAATCTGTTTTTTTAGACTTCTCAAACGACGATTGCACGGTTCCAAGTAGTCAGAGGAAGTTGGAGAGCAGGTGACACATGCAAGCGGAGAAATGGAGGCATAAGGGAGCATTGAGTGGGTATGGATGCAGTCATGATACCCCCAACCCCAACACACTTTGCACATGTGGCTGCTCAAGGGAGTAATGTGAGACTTGTGTTACAATAGCGCACGCAACGCAACACCCAACGATGCACGCCGCCCTACCGCCATCCTTTAGCCCGAAGCCACAAGCACGCATACACAAAGTAGCATGTGGCAGCACACAGCAGCACAGCAGCACGTGACAGCACATAGCAGCACCCACCAATGCACGTCCTGCCATTCTCCTGCAGCACGAAGCCAGGGTCACACACACAGGACGCCACTCCACCGCTGTTCACAACGCACGTGCTGTTGGCGCTGCAGGCCTTGACCACACAGGGACCTGTTCGAGAAAAGGGAGGAGGGAAGGGAGTTGAGAGAAGGAATTTATGGATAAATGGAAGAGAAGTGGAGAGAGTCAAACGTCACGTGCTGCTGGCGCTGCAGGCCTTGACCACACAGGGACCTGGGAGGGGGGTTATGCATGAACGGAACGGGGAAGGTCAGCAGCACCGCACTACCCGCCAAAACCACAAGACTCACCAACAGGGACACATCTGAAGGAGTGGTAAGGGTACGAGCCCACTGGATAATAGTCACTGGTGGGTGGGGTGGGGAGGCATGCACCCACCAACACAGCAGTACTGCACTACTCGCTCACCATCACCATCACAGCAGCACCACACCACATTACCCACCAACAGCACAACACTCACCGACAGGGACACAGCTGAAGGAGTGGTAAGGGTACGACCCCACTGGAGAATAGTCACTGGGGGATGGGGTGAGTGAGACACGCACACACAGGCAATGGGGGAAAGCCAGAGGGGCAGAGCGGGAGAGGAGAAAACGTGAGACGGAGAAGGAATGCAACTTTACGGAAGAGTAGTTGCTTGCTGGTGTGGGCAGGGGAAACATGCCATGCCATGGCACAGAAGCCATGGGCAGGGGAAACATGCCATGCCATGGCACAGAAGCCATGACTCACGTTGACCCTGGTGCGGTGATTTCGGTCCCATTTGAGGCGGTAGGCAGCCAACTAGGAGGGAGGCCCCGCGCAGCTGCTTTTGAGTCGACTCAAATCAAAAGCTATCCCAAGTGTAACCAAACACTGATGTGCGGTTACCAGCACCCTTTGGGACCCCATCCATGCGTCAGAGAGACAGGACGCATTCTGCGACGGCTGCATTCACAGGGTTCCTTCCTGCACTGATTGCGGTCCCATTCGAGGTGATAGGCAGCCAAGTCAAGAGACCCTGGCAGCTGTCCCGAGCGTAATTTTTGAGGTGCCTCAAAATATGAGTCAGGAAGATCGGGGGACCCTGGCAGCTGTCCCGAGTGTAACCATACACCGATGATAAGTGACCACACATTGACCCTCCCTGCACTGCACTCACTTGAACCCTTCTGTGCTGACTCCGGTCCCATTTGAGGCGAGAGGTAGCCAGGTGGGGGGGGTCCCTGGCAGCTCTCCCGAGTGTAACCATACACTGATGCACAGTTACCTCTGAGTCAACTCAGGTCAATCATTGGAAGCTGTGACTCACTCTGTGACTCAATGTTCTGCCCTGCACTCACATGACTCCTGTTGCAATGATTCCAGTCCCATTCGAGGCGATAGGCAGCCAAGTGGGCGGCCCCTGGCAGCTCTCCCGAGTGTAACCATACACCGACGCGCAGTTACCAGCACCCCCAGGGACCCCATCCACACGCCAAAGAGAGAGGGCGCGCTGCGGCGATGGGTGCAGGGACGGATGCTGGCAGACCGCATTGTATAGGAGGTGAGCACTGGGGGGATATCCTGGGTAGGTGGGAGGGGAAGGGGGGGGATGGGGGAGAGGAGGGGAGAGGTGGGGGGGGTGGGGGTGATGGTTGTAGTTAGTCTGATCGTAGAAGGTGATGCTGGTGGAGGAGGCACTGGGGGGATATCCTGGGTAGCATTGTGGGAGGGGAAGGGGGGGGATGGGGGAGAGAGGGGAGAGGGGGAGAGAGGG